CTGACAACCAAATACATGCCCCCCACCCCCTTTTTCTTGCCCTTTTAGAACAGGCACAAAATCTTCGGCCTGTTTTTAGAAGGGACAGGTACCTTTTATAAACTTTATTGGAAAATAGTTAATTAATTTAGTAAAATATAATTTTGCATTTTCGTTGTCTTCTGATGGCTATTTTGTATATTAAAAGTAGAGCCTTCCTTATCATGTGAAGTACTCTCTTGATTATGCCGGTTCTTTTCTCATTCTGCTAAAGCTATAAATAAAGCAGTCTATTTAAGGCTGGCATTATATCAACCCACCTGCTTCTGGAAAAGAGAGAGAAAAAAATCAGAATTGTTCAACCTGCAGATTGCTGTCAGCTTGTGATTATGTGAATGGTAAGTCTTAACTTGTAAAGTGTTATGTGAGATAGGCTGGAAGGTTATTATTTTTTTTTTTTGAAGCAATTTTCAGTTTAACAATTACAGAAGAATTTCTGAGTACCAATGAAAGAAGGCTTATCCTTGTAGAGAGTATTCATTGATGAGGCCTGACAGCAGCTTGGAGGTGACAGTGGTGAGCAGGCAGAGCAGGAGAATGAAAATCATTTCAGTTGTGGTATTAGGAAAGGAGGAAGGAATATGAAGGAATATTAAAGCTTTCCTTCTTTATGGGCTATCTCAGGAAGTCAATAGTCCTATTCTTTTCCTCCTTCCTATTCAAGATATTCCCCAAGAATATAGGGTTTGGGGAGAAGGAGAAAAGGTAATAAAGATTTGGGCAAACTGGAGAAGTGTGGTGTGGGACACATGCAAGCTTGTCCTGATCAGATCCCCACATTTGGAAAGAGTAACGTCAATCCAGTTCTGATTGAGAAAAATCTTCATTTCTTTTGTTGTTGCAACATTTTGTCATAGACCATCTGTTAAGAAGCTCACACAGATGAGGAGTTTCCAGCCTGTAATATTTTTTGAGAAAACATTCAACTACATTTACTGCTCCCAAAGCAGACAAACCAACTGGAGATTTAAAAACCTGTCACTAATGGATAACTTAAAACATAGTTTACTTGGCTAGAACTTACAAGTCCAGACTCATGGCCCCTGGACCCAGTGCTTCTTAAGTAAACTTAGCTAAATATCATAGCAAATCAGCTCTAAGTCCATCTTGTAGACTTATGTTATGAAGCTGTCCCTTATCAGTGGTCATACTTTTACTGGAGTGTTACTGAGAAGAAAGAATATTACTTCATTCAAGACTTTTTACACACAAAGGCAGAATAACTCCAAAACTCCTCAATCAGAACATATCAAGGGATTTAGCCCAAAGGAAATGGGTGGAGCTCCCAAAGCCAATGGTGAAAAGTCAATGGAAATAACCAAGCACATAATGTGTTAGTGTAATGGGGAAAGTTAATTCTAGTAATGAAGATGGTAAACCTTGACCCAAATACTGAGAAGAATGAATGGCTTTGGCCTCAAACATTTTGCTAGTAGGTTCACATGCCACAAAGTCTATCAAAAATAGCTGATATGAGCTATTGGTGACCAGACATAGAGAAGAGGAATTAAAACAAAGACAATATAAGTTTAAAAAGAGAATGATTCTTCTTAAATTAGAAGATAATAATCATCAAAAGTAGCAATGAAAGAAATGGATACATAAAATGGATCTAAGCATCTCCCTTTCATTTCTCTATTTTCTTGATGAGTCTTTTTGTCAGGTCTTAATCTTGTTGGCTGAAAATGATGTATTTTTTTTTCTTTCCTAGAAAGCCTCAAGACATATTTTGTAAGGCTTCTGAGCATAGCCCCTGAAGTTAAAACAAATGTCCTGAAACAGATAAAGGGAGACCCTGAAAGTGTAATTTCATTTACATGAGGCTTTACTCAATTTTATTTCTCAAAGATCAGATCTACTCTTTTGTATTTTCTATATAAAAATATATTTGTTCCTACTTCAGTAATGAAAAGTGATAAAAATCAGGTTTCAATGTAAGATTTAAACAGTCCTTTTTTGAAGAGTCATAGATAGTTGTAACTTCTAAACTTCTATGAGACTAAAGAGGACAGAATATTTGACAGACTGATAATGAAAGAATCCACTTTAAGTACTGTAGATCAAATTCTGAATGTCCTTGTATTAGTAGGGAGTTGTGGGTGAAAAGCAAAATTTCTGACAGAGTTAAGCAAAACCCAAGTTCTGATAAGTGGTTCTCACAACTAAGAAATATGACTTTTGACAATTTCTGGTTTACATTTTCAAACTTTGAGAACATTTGAAAAACACATTATTGTAAATTAAACTAAAATGAAAGGAGGCTAAAAAAGTAGGCAACATAAGAACTTAGAAAAGTAGAAACCCATTACCAGGAACATTTAGACAAATTGTAGAGATAAATTATCAAACTCCCAGAAAATGTATTTCAGGTATTTGGGGCCATGTATCAATTACCCTAGATCATTAGGGCTCTTGTCATGGATTTTATTATTATCATTATTATACAAACTTAGGCTATAGAGGGAAAAAAAGCACTTTAAAAATACTTTATATACAAATATAGAATACTGGTCAACACAGAATGAAATGCTGAGCCAAACTATTTCCTTGTAGGATACTTTGAAACGAACCCTCTGGGAAGCTGATGATTCAGAAATGTCACATCTAAGGGGGAAAGTGTTCCAGGTACTGATCTGAACTGTTACTCTCTACCATGGTTTAGTTTGATACAACAAAAGAGCATTCCGAAGCCTTCACAATGAATTCATGCAAGTAAATCCCTTTGTGAAACTGGAATACTAAAGCCCTAAAGTTATAGTCAAAAGAATACCAGAGCCCTGCAAATATAAAAAGAAACCCAAGATCTGTACCAATAGTGAGAATGTAGAAAATTCAATGATACTCAATTACCAATAAATCCACGACTATGATGCTTTAAGCTGAAAGTAGCTGATTCTCCTCGAAATACTGGTCAACATACTTTTATGATCTGAACATTTATAAAGATGTTCATTTTTTTTTCTATAACCTATCGTTGTCCAATTCAAATAGCAATTTTACTCTTACTAGAGTCATTGGGAATACGTCAGAGGAGTACTACTCTAGTCTAACGTTGACTAATCTGGATTTTTATGGAACTCTAGTTTTTGAAGATAATAACAGTTACATTACAAAAAGAGGTGTTTCATGTTCAAAAAAGTTAGAAAAATCCCAAAGTAAACAATATTAAATAGAATTCTTGTCTATAAGACTTTTCAGAGGATTTATAAGGCTCATTGAGATTTGAAACTCCAAGAGGTGGTTACAGAAGGCAGCATTTGCCCAATTTATCAGCCAATAAGACTTTTTTTTGAAGAAAAATGCTTGGTAATATTTTAAATAACTTGTTTCATAGGTGAGGTATGAAATCTGAGAAAGTCCAATCATTCTTTTTCAATGTCATAATAAGTAAATATTTTAACCAAATATTTTCATGAATGGGTTTCCTTTAATTCATTTCATTTCAATTAACTATTTTTGGTCCATTTTTAGTTTAATAGAAATAATAGAATCATAAGGACCTGTTACTAATTGTTCATTTTTTTCTTTATCTTTGTCTTTGTCTTTCTGTCATGACAATTATTTAAGTACTTCATACAATACTGAAAAACTAAGAAAAAGCAGTTTGTACTGATTTTTGTAAACCTCTCACTCCACTTTCATTTTGTTCTTCTTTTAAATTTGAAAGATCACATTCTATTTGAACATGAGTTGGAATTGTGATAGAATTTGCAGCAGAGTTTGATTTGCATTATTAGATATAAATAAGGTAATTGCCACAAATGGAAAATGAATTTCTAAAAGATCTATGATAACCATCAGTAAAGTGAAATGAAAAATGATTTAAGAGGCAATTCTTCAATCTTTCTATCTCATTTCAACCCTTTATTAAGGGAGAAATGAGTTTAACTGTGTTGCTATATAATTGGCAAAACAATTCTGGGGCTCTATTTTTTATTGGGGTCGATTTAATTTTATTAAAGTTTTTCAAAATTTTATAAAGTAAAAAGAAGGCAGGCTTTTGAAAGTCAAATCCCAATCCAATATGTCAAAAGCAAATGCCAAAGATTTTCTATTCCAATTAACATTGTTACCCAGGAAGGGACCTATTTTCAAGTTCTCAAAATGTGAAAAGTGTAGACGTTTCCTATCTTTCTGGTCTTAATTAAATATGTAACATTTCACGATACAGTCTATAGTCAATGCCTTCTCATATTATATGAATATATGCTTTGAAAGTCATTCACTCAACATTAGCCAAATGGATATTTGCCTCTTTTGTAACAGACCACTGGTGGTAATGACTTGATGCCATTAAAAAACAAAACAAAACAAAACAAAACAAAAAAACTGAATGTTTAGCTTTAACAATCATTAATTCAAACTGAATTGGACAAATATTATTGGGTCAGAGAAATAGAAGAATTAGTACAATTTAACATACTTATAGGCCTATTACCTTAGATTTTCCTCCGTAGTGTAAAACATATTAGTAAGTGTTTTTAATGCACCTTATTTTTCCCACCTTCTAAAAACAAGACAGATTCCTTTTTCTACACAAATTTCAAAATAAAAACCAAACCCACTTGGTAAGGAATGAGGGAGAAACCCTGAAGCTGTCTATTCAATGTAATACTATGAGTACAGTATCTGAATGAAGGATATCAGAATGGCTAGAAGTTCTGCCTGGCAGCAGTCTGACCTTCAGGCTGCAATCATGTTTTAAACAGACCCTTAGTTGCATTAACATTATGTTATGTATTAATCACCCTGGTTTGTGTTGGCATCTGAGAAGAATTTCTTATCCAGAGAGTTTCTGAATATCTGGATTCTTGATCTTACCTATGAGTGAACATTACTCTATGATTATATATAATCATTGTCTTCTTTTCCATTTTCTATTAACCCATTTGCAGTGACTGATGAAAATGAAATCAAGGGATGGTTAAATGAATCATTTTAATTAACACCTACCTTGCCTCTTACAGGTACATCTAGTACATCTACCACCTTCTGGAGAAACCAAGGGCTTTGTTACAGTAAACTGGTCAAGTGTGATATTACAAGTATAAAAAATATTCCATTCTGTATCAAAACTAGGCACATGCCTTTATTTATAGTAACAGAAGTTAACAGAGTTGAGCAGTTTTGCCTTGGGTCCTGTTTCTTGGCATCCTACATCAGACAAATGCATCTCTCAACATATCTCTGCCATAACTCCAGGGATCTAGTCTTGGGTTGATCTTTAGGTAAAGGAAGGTGAAATCACACTTAGATCTACAGTAGTGAGTAACTAAAAGCACAACCTCTCATTCATATTGCTTTAAAACATATACAGCATATATGTTTCAAAAAAAAGAGAAAGAAAATATAAAGAATATATTGATCTTTTCGTGGTACTGAACCAACAATATGGTATGATGCAAGGCTTTAACAAATGATAACCATAGATACAAATTTTTCTGTAGAGTGTGTTTTAGACAAATGTGTCTTTAATATGTAAATCCTACATTGTAGGTTGTTCTTTTGTATTTTTTCTTTTTTTTTTTTTTCCTGTGGTAGAAAATGCTGAATTGTCCATGAGCATGAGCCAAAGGTTCGTTACTGAGATCCCCAGAATGCCAATATTTGCAATGCAAACAATTAGTATCCCACTGTGTGAAGGGCTCTGACACATGCCTGCCTGCCTGTAGTTGGAAAGTCTCCATAAGAAGTCCTCCTGCTTCCACGGACCCTGCGTTGACATAGGGCAGCTGTATGAAGCTGCCTCTCAACCTAGTAATTTACTGTGCCAGACTGTCTTACTGATTACCAACAATGACACAGAGACATTAGTGTGAATTGTGGGCCCTCAAATCATTTTCATATTGAACCTTCTTGGTCCAGCCACCTCCCCTTCCACAACAGCACCATTGTTTTTTCGGGGCACATACTCAAGGTCAATGCTGTTTTTGTGCTTGCCTTTCCCTCGGCTCCACACAAAAAGGAGGAGAAAACAAAATAAAACCACTCCCAGGAATGTGAAACAACCCATGGCTGTAGACACCAGTATTGTTTTAAGGTCCAGGGAAAAAGTATTGGCATTGGTGCCATTGGAAATGGTGTCATTGGAATCGGTCATGTACATAGGGGTCCTGTTGGCATAAAGGAAGCGGTCTGAAGTGAATCCTTTCACAGTTAAGGAGGCTGTGAAGGTGTCATTCCCAGCAGCATTGCTAGCGATGCAAACATACATCCCACTGTCCTGATCCTGGGCAAAGCGGATTTCCAAGGTGCCGTCACCCAACACTGTGGCTCTTCCATTGGACTTGGTGGTGATAAAACGCCTTCGGGGTGTCACCCAGGAAATCACAGGCTGTGGGTCTCCATCAGCATTGCATTCGAGCTGGACCGTCTGCCCTTCATCTACCAGCAGATGCTGTAGCTTCTTTTCACGGATTTTGGGTTTTTTGCAGGTAAAGTAAAAAGAAAGAGCAGTGCTATGGAAATCCTTGAATGACCTCTCACGAATGGTATCTGGGCCAGCACACATGGGCTGTTGGCCACCAAACTGCAGGGTGGGTTGTCGCTGCAGGATCCAGAGGAGACGGCAGTCACAGGCCAGTGGGTTGTTATTGATGCTCAGGACTTCTAAAGCCCTGGGGGAGGAGAAGACATTCTCTTCCAAAGTTTCTAGCAGATTCTGAGACACATTGAGCACACGAAGGAAGCGGAGCCCTTGGAAGGAGTGAGGCTCTATGGTGCGGAGCTGGGCCCCTACTATGTGAAGCTCCTGAAGGCGGATTAGATCAGAGAACATGCCTGCCTCAACAGTGCTGATGGGATTGTAGGAGAGGTTAAGGTGGGTCAGGTATACCAGGTGTTTAAAGGCGAGGAAAGGTACGGTGGACAAGTTGGTGTTGGTGATTGAAAGGGATGTGAGGTTGAGACCATAGAGACTATTGGCAGGCATCATATCCAGTAAAGGCCAAAAATCAATCTCCAGGTGTTTCAGGTGGAACAATCTTTTAAAGGCATACACGGGCATATTGTTGATATTGAGATACTTCAGGTGCAGGCTGATGAGGCTGCGGAGGGGGGAGAGGGCTTCTGTTGGTACTGCTGTTAAGTTGCATTTCTCTAGGGTGAGCTGCTCCAGGCTAAGCAGCCCACTAAAGGCCCTGTGTGATATATAAACCAAATCATTGTCCCCCACCTCCAGGGACTTTAGGTTATGCAGATCTTGAAACATGTAGTCCAGTAAAATGACAATCTTATTCTCACTAATGTCAAGCTTGGTGAGGTTGGACAGCCCAGTGAATACCCCCAAAGGGACCAACTTCAGGCGGTTGCCTTTCAGGCGCAGGGAACGCAGGTTAAAGAGATTGTTAAATGCTCCTGGTTCCACATTGGCGATGATGTTGTCACTCAGGTCTATCTCCTCCAGCAGAGGATAAGATATGAATTCTTCAGGGTTGATGCTTTTCAGTCTGTTTTTACTGAGATCCAAGATTTTGGTCTCGATGGGAATGCCTTCTGGGATGGCAATCAACCGTCTTCGGTGGCAGCTAACGGATTTATTCTGGGCAGAGCACTCACAGCGAGCAGGGCAGCCAATGGTGGATCCCATGAAGATTAACACCACAGCCAGACCCAGGAATGGCTGCCAGCATGATATGGCCGTGTGAAGCATGACTCCACTTCTTAGTCTACACCTTGGTTACGGGCCTGCATAGATGGGGCAAAAGAAGGGGGGAAGAAAAGTTAAATTAGGACATAGGTGAAAGGCACAAATAAATAAGCAAGTATTATATAATGGAAAGAGCACTGGGTTTGGAATTAATTAAATTTGGGCTTAGACCTGAAAGCTTCCATTATTAGTTACACGATCTTGGACAAGTTATTTTATTTCTCTGTATTTTAGTGTTCTTGGCTGTGAAATGGTGATGAAGGGGCTGATAAGAGTAAAGTTATCATGACAATTTTAGTGTTTGACAACTATAAAGGAACAAATAGAGTGTCTGGCACAGTCTGTGAAGGAAAACAGCAAACATTTCACACACAGAAGTGTCTATTTGAATGCAAATGAGAGAAACAGAGGCCAAGGGCTAAGAGGAAACTCATTCAGTTTGAATCAGTGTCTGCATTGCTAATGATTGAGATAACATTCTCTGTTCAATTCTCTTTACAAGCTAAATGATATATAGCAATTAAATGTATTAAAAAAATGAAGCTAATGGAAATTTCATTCAACATCAAACCCTTAAGTTCAACACACATAATAAAGTTATATTCAATGCAACATATTTAATTTTTTTTTCTTGACATACATTTTCTATTTCGGAAACTCAGTTTTAAGGTATGCTTCTTATATTGGGTCATCAGAAAAGTCATGATGCATTTTTGCTTCGGAAAACAGAAAAATATGTTTTGACATTTCTGATGAACCAATAGAATTAATTGAATTTTGATTTATGAAGAGATTTTCTTATTTGAGGCAAACCAGAAGATCCTCACAATTTCTCTGTATTGCAGGATCAAGTACCATGACAACTATGATGAAAATACTTTCTTTACAACTTTGGGTTAAATATTTAGGAAGGCAAAGATTTGTCATTTTAAGGAAAAAATATTTTGTAATAAATAAACTATCATTCTTAGTTGAGGCAAACTCAAACTCAAAACAGGGAAACTCAAATTCAGTGGATCACGTAACAAGAAATCACATAGGTACCAACAGGAAATGAAAATTAGTATGTTTTAAATGTGGGTAGTTGAGCAGATACTGCACTTACTGCTCAACCGAATAGCAAATGTGCTGTGGAGCTGTGTGTTTCAACCTGAGGCTTGCAGGGGTACACTTGATCCACGAACATCGAACATCGTACTTTACTTAAGGCTAAGTACTCTCTCTCTCTCTTTCTCTTTCTTTCTTAAAAATTTGCTATAAGATGTGGGTATGTGTTCCTGCAAGGGGGTGGGGAGGGAGAGAAAGAGAGAGAGAGAAAGAAAGCACCCCTTGGAGGAGACAGCCACATTGCAATCCCTTCTCCACCCCTTCTCCTCTCAGGGTTTTGGGCATGCACATACATGTGCCTGGCGTGTTTCTCAAGCTGCCAGATCTTGGACTCAGACTATGTAGTTGGCTATATGGGACCTAGCTGTTTTAACCATGATACAATTGTCTGGCCCCGGGTTAAATAGCTTGAAATGGTAATTTTAGACCAAAAAAAAGGTATCTTATAAATTTCAACATTTACTTCTGAATTGTAAAAGACCAGTTAGTAAAAGAATCATTCTCCCATTAGTGTTTATATAGATATCTATACCTACATCTGTAGTAAGATTATATCTAAGCAAAACTGTGCACAAAATAACAGTAGAATCAAACTTAATGGTGAATCACTAGCTCACTAGAAAGTTCTCTCAAAATGTTGAAATAAGGAAAATACCCAGAAGGTACTAGACAAATTAATTAGATAGAAACATGAAGCTAAAATTATTGGAAAATATATACCAAAACTATTATTAGTTGCAAATCAAATTGATGTATTATTAAAGCAATGGAAATAAACTGAAAACCCATTAGAACAATTGAAGTAAGTTAGCCTATTACAAATACAATTATTTTCTTATGGACCAAAAGTAAACCATTTAGAAAATATTATTGTAAAAGTAATTCCAAGCACACATCTCTGAAAAATATCCAATTCCTCAGAATAACTTTAAGGAATTAATTAATTAGAATTATTATAGCAACAATTTAACCCTACTAAGAAATCAAAATAAAACTTATTAACAAAGAGGGTTATACTATAGTTTTTATCTATATTTTGATAAAAATTAAATCATATAAAACATTAATTTTTTCAAAATAACTCAGAGAATATTTTAAAACTTCAAAATTAATTCTAAAATCTATTTATATATATATAGAGAGAAAGATAGATAATTAGGAACATTAAAAATAGTAAGGAGAACACTCTACCATGTACTTAAACATAAGATGCAAAACTATAATAAAGCAGAATGGTAATAGCTCAAATATTCAATCAAAATATAAAAACTAAGGAATTACATTTAAATATCATTTAAAAGTCAGTTTTCATTAAAGGTGGCATTTTACTTCAGTGAGATAAATATAAATGATTAGATATTTAGTGGAAACAGCTGCATATCAACTTTACTCCTCCCAATAAAATAAATTCTAGATGAATTAAATTTTAAAATGTGCTAAAAGAAAATTAAATAACTTAATAATACCAGAGTTGAGAAGCATTTTCTATGAATAAAGCTAGAAATCAGAAAGAAAAAGATCCACTATATACATTTAAAAAAATATTGGTATATTAAGCAAACAACATACACACACACACACACACACACACACACACACACACAAGCATTTGCTAAACTGGAGAATGTATTTTAAACTCATATACTAAATAAGGGATTAAATATAGTATTAAATAAACAGCTCTTATTAATAATTTAAAAAGGCTAATGCCAATAGAAATTAGGCAATGAATGTAATATGAACTAGAAATAGCTAATATGTGAAAAGATAATCAACTTCATTAGTAGCAAAGTAATGGCAATTAAATAATAGGGGTATATAGTTTTTGCCTGTCAGACTGACAAAGTTAAATAATCATTTTTAGTCAGGTTTAATAAGAGTTAAAGAAAACTAATATCTACATACTGATATAGGGAATATAAACTGGTGCAACCTTAAGGTGATTCAAATACAACAAGGAGGTCAATAGATGTACTGAATTTAAACATATCGAAGTTCAATATATTAGGTCATCGGAAAAGTTATGACATGCTTTTTGCATAGAAAAATATGTCATGGCTTTTCCAATGACCCAAAAGTTCAGTCAATCCATTTCTTAAATTTTCAAAATGTGTCATTAGAAAATAATTGCACTAATGCATAGATGTTTGTTAACAGGTTTGCCTATAATAGAGGAAAACTATTGAATATATAATATTAGGAGCTTAGTTATACAAGTTAGGATATAGATTAACAATAAAATACCATATATATCTATGGCTATATATATATATATATAGATAGATAGATAGATAAATAGATAGATACACACACACACACAGAGACACACATATATATTATCTATATTTATATCTATATATAGAAAATGTCTGATGTACAGAAAATTAATAGAAAATTGTAATTTATTTAGTTAGCTTAACTTCCAACCCATTTGTTTCTTCACTTCAGAGATGGTGGACTTACACTGGTTGTAAAGAAAGATTGTGATTGTGTTTTCAACATAAATTAATAAGAAAATCCCAAAACATATCTATGGCTTAGTGTTCTAGAACAATAAGCGGCACTCATTTTAAGAATACGGTCAGTGAATTCTGAAAAACTGTATACACCTTTGTAAACACTATCACAATCTGATACAGAATACTGCCCGTGACCCTTCTACTCCTTTTCAGTCTATCCCACTCTCTATTATTTGCTCAATGAAAGCACTAATTTGTATTGTCATTATAGTTTTTGTTTTCTATTGGGTTTTTGGGAAATCATGATGCATTTTTGCATAGAAAAACATAGAAAAGTACATCATGACTTTCCTGACAACCTAATAGAATTTAATATAAATGAGATAATAGAAGATGTACTACTAGTTACAATATATACTCTTTTATGTCTAATACCTTTCATTCAGTATAGTGTATTTTATAATTCAGTCTGTGTTATTGCATGTAACAGTGGTTGTTCATTTTCATTGCTGGTAGTTTTTTATTATGTAAATATGCCACAAATTGGTTATCAATTCTCTTATTTTTGGACACTTGGGCTTGTCCAAGAGCTGCTATGAATATTAACATACACATCTTTGTGTGCACTTTTGTTTCCATTTCTCTAAAATATATACCTAGGAATGAAAACTGTGGGTTGTAGGGTAGAAATATGTTTAATATGCATGCTTCACTTAAGGACTTACCTGATTAGTGATTCTACTGGGACTTACAGAGTTACCCATACGGGGAATCCCCGTTCTCAATCCTAGTCTCATTTCTGCAGTTGGTTAGTACTAACTCCACCAAGCATTTGTGATGGCACAAAATTACATATTTCCTTTATAAGTTTGTACTTTATGGTGCACCTATAGTATTGAAAATAAAATCGATCATGCCAGATTTTTATTACTGTGCTATGGTGTGTCTTGTCACTTTCTGGTGCTTATCTAATGTATGCTTTTTGGATGAATAGAATGCCATTATTCTAATATGATGTCATGTGATATCTATTGAAAAATACATACTCTATGGTGCCTCCACACACCACAAGACATCCACCTTCAAGCTCTTCACTTATTGACTAACTCACTTAATAACCTACTTGTAGGACCAGAACTTAAGTCACTAAGTGAGGAGTGCCTGTATTTATAAGAAATAGATATATCTCTTCCCAAAGTGATTGTACCATTCAACATTACTGCTAGCGATGCATGAAAATTTCAGATGCCCTATATATCTTCCAACACAAATACTGTCAATCTTTTATATTTCAGCCATTCTAGTAGGTATGCAGCGTCAATCTCATTGTATATTCCTGATAAGGGTGCTCAGCATCATCCTCTGTACTTATGGCCCATTTATAGAGATTTTGGGGTAAATTTTATATTAAAATATTTTGCATATCTTTAATTTGGTTTATCGTTATTGAGATGTATTAGTTGTTTATATAT